GGCTCGGCATCGCGGCAGCCCCCTCTCCAGGCCTCGGAGCCGGGGGAGGTTTGCACCCTCCAGCTAAAGGCGACCCCGTCCCCCTTCCCAAAACAGATTTTACAGCTTGGGAAGGGGGTGCGGGGGGGAAGTCGCCCCAGCTTTTTAGGCGCTGCCGTCTGGCGTAGCCCTCGGGATTGCCCGGCTTCTCACCAAATCTGCCTGAGCTCGGGATTAGCTCTCCCAAGGGCTTTTTACATGTTAGGAGACGTCCTGCGGTCTTTTGCATAGACGGCGCTACCCGTTCTGCTGACGACAGAGTGGTTTCTGCTGCGCTGTAAATAATAAAATGTATTTTCTCTTTCCTGTTGGGCAATAGAGTTCCTGTTCGGAGATCCTAGAAGGTAAGAGCAGTTCAGGTAAGCCCCTTCCTCTGGCCTTCTAGAAATCAGAAGTGTGCTCCTTCATTTAAGCTGAAAATTCATTGCAGCTACAACCAGCAAACTAGAAAACACCGATATGGGGAAATACCTGTTTGGGGTTGCTTTTGGCTGAATTGGATATGGTTGTGGACATAGTAACAATATAAAAAAACTCCCCCACTCTATACTGCTGGTTTAGTTCGCTAAGTAAAAAGTGATTTAAAAAACCCTCTGAATGTGTATGTTCCTTACAAAGAAAGAACTTGTTTATGGGCCGTAAGCGCAGACCAAAGAAGAGACACAGAATTAAAGCTCAGTGCAAGATCTCTGCAGGCAGATAGCAGGAACATACCATCAAGTGTTCATCTGCTTGGGTGGTTGTGGGTCACAGACTCTGCAGAGGCCTGGGGCAGTCATCTTTACACCTGACTGGAAATTAATAGCAAAATACTGAGAATGCCCTGAAGGCAGCAAAAGCAGGCTTTAGCCCTCTCAGAAAAACAGCCTCAGAGGGGAGAAATGGTGTTTCCTGCTTTTACAAGAATTTTGAAGCCCTCGTTATTGAAGGCTTTTCTCATTTGCTTTCTCAGCTGGAGTTTTAGTGGCAAACGTAGCCCAGCATCATAGTGGTACTATGGCCAGTAAACAAAGCCCTGTGGCCCTGTGACAAAAGCCTGTTTCGAAGACATATGGTTCTCTCATACTTCTCTGCTCCTTTCTCCTCCTTCTCAAAATTTATTGCCCATTCAGCTGTGCTGATGCATTTATTTTTGAGGCTGGTGCTCTGTGTGTGTTGTCCCCCCTGCACCAATTATTTCACTGACCCATTTAAGAACATGTTCCTGACGATGGTTGTGTCGGCCAGCCTAATGGTGGGGAGAATAAATTGTTGGAAAGGGAGAGATAATAAGAACAAGTGGTGGGGGAGGGGGGGACATCTAACCAAGCTCCATCCTCAGACGAACAGGGAAAGGATAGG